CTGGAACACAGAAACAGACCAATCAGAAACAAGTCCAGCTGTTCCTTTGCCGACTTGTGACTGCGGGTCGGTGACGACCCGGTGGGAACAAAACAGAACCGACTGCTTCCCAGTACAACTGGAGCAGTTCACCAATAGAAAATAATGAAAACCCTCACTTCAGCGCAGAGGAAACAGGAAGTACAAAAGTAAAAGCTTGTGTTCGGATTTCTGAATCTGTGTTTTCTACTTTTATAAACAATTTTATTTTTGTAAATAAGAGAAATTAAATGTAGTCGTTTTGTTTAACACTAAAATATTATACTGTTAGACAAAACTTCAAAACGGATCCATAAATAATCCCGATAATCTGAGATCCAAGCACATTTGAGCCGCCTGCAGCTGATCGCTCCGACATCCGAGCAGCTGATCCATTTCCTGTTCCGGTCTCTGGTGTCAGCGTCTCAGGAGCCAAAATCCCGGTCCAGTTCGACTACCCAGATCCAGTCTTTGTCTGATTTCCTCCCCAGCAGCAAGACATCCCTGTAATCCTCTAAAGTGGTTCTGAATCAACAGTTTCAGACTAAACTGGATCAGATTGCATTTCTGTGACAGGCGGCACAAAGAAAACACGCTCTGACCCAACTCTGGCTTATCCCGTGAATCCGAGGCTCTCTCCCACTTTCTGATTCAAAGGTCGGGGAGTAAAGTTGTCAAGTTCTCCAATCAGAAGATTTTATTTATCTGGAAACATTCATCTGAATTCATGAGCCAGAGCAGAACCCCTGGGGGGTTCAGACCAGCATCTGAGCCTCTAAAGACCCAGAAACAGGTTCTGACCGAACGCAGGATACTTTCTAGTGTCTTAGTCATAACTTGGCTGTTTAGATGAAATCTGAGTTTGAAGCGTTTTTTTTTAAAGTCATCTGTTTGGGATCTTCTTGGATGAGGTCAGGAGGACTGGACCAGATATCAGGATAGAGGTCAAACTAATAAATAAGATTAAAACAAAAAGTCTAAACTTGTACTTTTGAGTGGCGTTTGGCAGCTTTTTGGTTTTTTTGGACTGAAGTTTTTTTCTGCTTCGAGATGTGAAACATGATCCTGAAACCTGAGCAGAACTTTGAGCTCCATCAGTTCAGCGGGATCTCCTTTTACGGAGCGCTGAGCTGCCTCCAGTGTTTGGAATCCAGAAAGAGGAGGAGATCTGGGCTCCTGAGCTGGACCTGCGGTTTGCTGCAGAGAGGCTGGATGATCAGAACCAGACGCTGCTCCCTGAGGGTGTCCGTGACACGCAGAGATGTAAATCTGATCAGGAATCTGCTGGAGTCGTCATAAAACCCCTGCAGCTAATTTAGAGTTGGGTTCTGATCCTGCAGCTCCAGGTCAAGAACATGTTCTAAAACACGTCTGAGCTTCAGCCAGAGTCAGGAATGGGGCGGTCCAAAGTGTCCCAGTGGCTGTTTCGAGCCCTCAGAGTGATTCTGTGAAGCCCAGAAGGGAAGAACGTTGTCTCAGAGAGCAGACTGTTGATGCAGATTCTTGTCAGGGTTCAGAGATGTGCCGATAACCGGCTAAACTAACAAGTTCAGCAGCATTTCTTTCACCGGTCAGGAAGAAAACGAGTCATTTACTAACAAGAACTTTTGTTTTAATTTTTTTTTCTGGTAAAATTTTATGAGACATCCAGTAGCTCAGGGGGTATAGCAGGTTGTCCAGTAATTGGAAGGTTGCAGGTTCGATCCCAGCTCCCACCAGAGAATGCTGCCGTTGTGTCCTTGGGCAAGACACTTAACCCTCCATGCCTGCTGGTGGTGGTCGGAGGGACCGGTGGCGCCAGTGTTCAGCAGACCTCGCCTGTCAGTGCGCCCCAGGGCAGCTGTAGTTCCATCGTAGCTCATCACCACCACTATATGAACGAGTGAATGAATGACTGTGTTGTGAAGCGCCTTGGGGGGTGGTAGAACTATAAGAGGGCGCTATACAAATACAGTCCATTTACATTAAACTGGACCACAAACTCACCAACTTACTAAAAATCTAACTTGTGACCTTCATAAACCTTTTACCATCGACTACTTCTGACTAAATCCAGCAAAACGATAAAGAAGAAAAAGAAACTCAGATCGTGTTCTTGTTGCTGATGATAGACTCAGACTCAGATTTATTGTCAAGACAACAAAGTAGAAACGGTCCAAACATCAAATCTGCTTTGTTTTGTTGAGGCGAGCGTAGTGGACACTTATCATGTCCTTATAAAAGGATCCTTCTAATATTGTGCATTTATTATATAGTTGAACAGGTACAAAGAATCCCAATAAAATTATTTTCACACTTTTTTCTGAAAATGTTTGTGACTTACACTGCGATGAGTTTGGACACCAGTGGTCTGGGTTGAATCTAATGGAACCAAACAAAAGTAGAGCTGTGAACCGTTCACCCCACCCCACTCAGATAGATGCCTGAACAAAAGCCTCAGTGTTTAAGCTGCACAATCGTCCCTTATGGAGCAGCTGAAAGACGAGCAGCTGAGGGACAAACATCTGAGAGACAAGTAGCTGAGGGACACGCTGCTGAGAGACGAAAGGCTGAGGGACAAATGGGTGAGAGACGAACAGCTGAGACGAACGGCCGAGTGACGAACAGCCCAGATGAACTGCGAGCCGTTGTCAGGGGGAGGTTTGAGCTCAACACTCATCTCTGTGACAGGAACCAGAGCAGCTGTTTATTTTAGTCTGCAGTTCAGTGTGATGTTCAGCAGCAGCTGTTTTAAACCCTCGTTCTCCTGTCTGAAGAGTCCAGATCAGGAGTCACCCAGCTCTGAAGCTGAGAGCGACTTTAGGGTTCCTGAGCCACACGAAGAGCTACCAGATACACAAAGTTTGTTATTCAATTCAATTCAATTCAAAGATACTTTATTAATCCCAAAGGGAAATTAGAGTTTCAGTACACACAATTCAGAGATCAGACATACATACAGGCATAGACACATGACAAGAATTGGTGACTGTGGTCATTCACAAGCCTGAGTCGCGCTACCTTAATAGAGATAAGAGGGTTTACATGAGGATTGGTTCAGGTGGAGGGAAAAAAAAGGCACTTCAGAGTTACCCTCCACAGGGAGGGCAGCTTTGCTCTACAAAAAAAAAAACACCTCACAAAGAGATGCAACAGACTTCAGACCTCACACAACATAAGGTTGGGGTGGTGGGTTTGGGACTCTCCACACATCAGCAGCAGCAGCCACGATAAGCAGCGCTCGTCAACTAATTCTGGACAGGGGAAGGAGGTCGTTGGGGTTTGGAGGGCACAGTGACTCCTGGAACGATTCGGTGGCCTTCACAGCCCGCAGTCCCGCCCAGGCTGGGATAGGAGACAGAGTTGCCGTTGCGACGGCAGCATTCCACATTTCATCTGAGGGGGGAGTATTCGTTGCAGCCTCTCAAGGGCACCAGATTCAGATTAGAAATTGTTTTGGGGCCAGACAGAGAAAATTTCCTCTCTGTCTTAAAGTTCTTTTGGTCCTCAACCTCTCGAAATCCCAATAATGGCGTAAATTAATGTATCCCAATCCGTACTGTGGACCCACCACCCGCAGGAGGAACATGAAGGGTCCAGTGCAGTGTGGATCGGGTGGCAGACCGAGGCAGGAGCCCTGGCGGTCCGACCCCGGGACAAGGAAACTGGTTTTTGGGACATGGAACGTCACCTCACTGGTTGGGAAGGAGCAGGAGCTTGTGGCAGAGGTTGAGCGGTACCGGCTAGATATAGTCGGACTCACTTCAACACATAGCATTGGCTCTGGAACCCAAGTCCTTGAGAGGGGTTGGACACGCTCCTTTGCTGGAGTTGCTCCGGGTGAGAAGCGGAGGGCTGGGATTGGCTTTTTGTTAGCCCCAAGACTCTCTGCCTGTGTGTTGGGGTTTACCCCGGGGGACGAGAGGGTAGCTTCCCTGCCTTCGGGTCGGGGAACGGGTCCTGACTGTTGTTTGTGCTTATGGGCCAAATATCAGTTCAGAGTACCCACCCTTTTTGGAGTCCCTGGGACGAGTGCTAGATAGTGCTCCATCAGGGGACTCCATTGTCTTGCTGGGGGACTTCAATGCTCACGTGGGCAATGACAGCATGACCTGGAGGGGTGTGATTGGGAGGAACGGCCCACCTCATCTGAACTCGAGTGGTGTTTCGTTATTGGACTTCTGTGCAAGCCACAGTTTGGCCATAACGAACACCATGTTCGAACATAAGGATGCCCATCGGTACACTTGGTACCAGGACAGCCTAGGTCGCAGGTCAATGATAGACTTTGTAGTCGTATCATCTGACCTGCAGCCAGGGCTGGACTGGGACAAAAATTCAGCCCGGGCATTTTGACTGGAGACCGGCCCATCACCTGTTTTTTTTTTGGAAAAGACATTAAGCCTTACGCTGTTTCTGACACACACCAACGTACACTTTCTTATTGGTAGTATTTATGTATCAATCTAATAAACGTAAACCTACACCATCCTTCCTATCCTGGTATTCTAAAAAGTAGGGTTGGGGGTAACTGATTATTTTTAAAATGATTATTCTGACGATTATTTTATCGAATAGTCGACTATTCTAATGACTATTTAGATGATTAATCTAGCGATTACTTTTCTATTGCACAATTAATAAAAACCAAAAAATTCTCAAATAAATTCCTCCAAAAAATTGATAAGTCGTTACTGTAAGAGAATAAACACTACAGGCCTTCCATTTTGTATAACACTGCTTTTATTGTGTTGCGGTTGTTTATGTTCTGGTGATGTGTAGAACTTGGGAGTGCAGGCCGCTGCCTGAGAGGTGGTTGGAGACGGAGTGTCTCCATGCTGCTTTGATTTGTTCACTTATGTGCGTGAGGCGAGTGGTGTTACGACCCTTCCTGGGGAGTCACGTGTTTCTCCTATTTTAACTGTAAATCCTTCTAGCTGTTATATTTATAACAAGAAACAGATATTCGGACAGAATATTTTCACGTTTATTCGAATATGATT